TTCACGCCCCCCCCCAGCTCTTTTGGACATCTCTGGATCCGCCCTTGGCATCTTCTTATTCATTACCACCACCATCACTATACCTATCATCGTCATCATCACTGTACTGTATCTATCAGTTAGGCTAATTTTTTTCTCTTTGTGAGAAAAGTAGTGCCACTTAACTTACCCTTCGGCTGCAGCCAAGATGGTGCTAACAAAGGTCTGCCAGAATGTCCTGTTGCTCAGTACTCCACTAAGGTCTTTGAGGCTGAATCTGGGGTCTCTGGCATTGGTCTCAGGAAAGTGAGGGGGGTGCCCTGCCTCCCCGAGTAGGGCCTATAATAATCAACCTAAATCTAGTAGCATTTTTTTTTGTTTCATATGTAGATTACTTTGCGGTGGCTTGACCTTATTGGTGTTTGCAAGTGGAATTTTCGATGAGTGTAGTAAATTAAAAGTCAGGTGTGACCAAGTTTCTGATCGAACCAAAATCATTACAGAAGATGAAGCTTTTCACTTGAAAGAAGAAGCTGTTCCGCTTCGTCCTACAGAGAGTAGTCCAAATAGACAGCCAAGTAAGTAGACACCACTTACTCATTTTGTGAGATGAGAGTTTGTGAGAGCCTGTGGCTGCCAATTTAATTACAGGTTCTAAGTATGAACTGTATCTACAGGGGCGAGTTTGCTAGTGGCCGAGTTTGTAAGGGGCGAGTTTGTTAATGGGTGAGTTTGTACGGGGTGACTGTGTATGGATAGGGGGTGAGTTTTAGGGGGCGAGTCTGTAAGGGGCAAGTTTGTAAGGGGAAAATTTGTTAAAGGGCGATTTTGTAAGGGATGAGTTTGTAAAGGGGAAAGTTTGATAGGGGGCGAATTGACTGGTTAATGATAAAAATAATATATCAACAATACAATACAACAAATATTTATTCTTAATATAACTTGTGGGTGGTGGGGGTGGAGTGTGTGATCGTACTGTTACATGCAGATCTAACATGCGTGCTATGTTTTCTTTAGATCTTCTTAGCAGAATGTCGCTCTGCTTTGCAATCAGTCGTAACTTTGTGCAATTGTTAAGTACAGCCCAGCCAAAGAAGAATATCCAGTGTCTAAATGGTATCCGTGTTCTCAGTATGTTCTGGGTTATCTTTGGTCACACAAGTAGCTTCTTGTTTACGTCACGCATTGTAGGTAATTATTGTTTGGTTAAATTTTCATTTGTAATCTCAATTTGGAAAGAAGTGTATTGTATTAATGCTAATAATTACCATTATTATGCATTTTATTATATTTTATTTTTAGGCTCAGGGCCAAGGATGGGCCAATAGTGAACTTTATTACTAAGTGGCAATCCTTTAAAAACATATAAATCAGATGCTCACAAAACTTAAGCCGTTTTCAGACGGACGCGCTGGCAATATTTGCAGTAACATTACGCGTACCAGCATACACCATTCATACCAACCAGATATTGCGGTAATATTGCCGTAATATTACACCTTTCTGTATCAGATTCAGATTCAAGTTTATTTGTCTTTACGGAAATTACATAGGTCGTTCAAAGCTCAAAATACATACAATAATAAAGTTTGCATACAAATATATATTTATTTGCATATAAATAAATAACATATATTAATATACAATACAACAGACCATACATTAAGTTAATGAAGATTGTCGTTAAGCATACGGATGGAAAGCGGTAAAAAGGAGTTGAAAAATCGTGATGTTCTGCACCTTGGCGTCTGGATCTCAAATATTGGTATTCGGAGTGGAGTGGGTGATTAGCGTCTTTGATTATTGAATCCGCTTTATTTACAATGTTCAGTTTGCATACATTGTCGATAGAGATCGTACCATGGAACAATCTACATGCCTTATGAATGATTAATTGTAGTTTATGCAAATCACCTTTCCTCATACCACTGTACCAAACTAAGCAACCATATAAAATTACACTTTGCATGACTGATGAAAAGAATAGTTTAAGAATTGTTACATCTACATGAAATCCGTTTAACTTTCTCATAAAATATAATCTGTTGTTACCTTTACTTAAGATTGATTTACATTGTTCATCCCATTTCAGTTTTTTATCTATTATAATTCCTAAATAATTATATTTAGTAACAATTTCAATGTCAACATCATTTATTTTGATCGGACGTACTGCACTTTTACCAAAATTAAAAATAATTTCTTTTGTTTTAGTTTAGTTAATTGTCAGACAGTTGTTTTTACCCCATTGTTCAAAATCATGAATGGAACCCGCACGCTGAGAAAGCCATTGGTTTTTTTTTTCAGTTATCACATACTGAGGGCGTCCCTTATTGTTATTGTTTTTAGTAAATTGCGGGAAATGCAAATATCATAATGGTAAGGCTGGACTTAATAGTGATTTCCTTGATGTTATTTTACCTTTTGTATGTGCAGTACATAATGTTTTCTACGTAATGCACATACATATATGCAGCAACTATATTTTCGAGAACGTATAACACGAGGCAGACGAAAATTTGGTGCATTAAGATTAAAACAGCTTTGTCACCTCCACATCTGTCCAGCTCGCCATCTTCATTTCGACTGATATGATATTAGTAAGGCGATACATTTCTTTTTCCCTTGTTTGCCAAACTTATTTTTTTTAAATCGCAAGAGGAGCTAGGGAAAAAAAAAATAGGCCTAAATAAATTTCTGTTTTCTTATTTAGCAAAATTATTTTTCGAAAAACATTTAGGCGGAGGAGAAAAAAAAATAAAATGTTAATGATTGATAAATGTACAGTACTACTTAGGTAGGTCAGACTGATAAATTTATATAGGCCCAGATAAAGCAAAATATTGGTTTTGGTGATTTCATGTGATCAGAGGTTGTATAAAAAAATAGATAAAAGCATATGATGTTTTCTTTTAATTTACATTTTCGTAGCCCTGACCATAAAAATTAAAAAGTCATTTTTGTTTGAAATCTTTATCGGAGGTCAGAGGGTTGGCTAAATAGTATCGCCTAAAAGAGTAATATTGCGGGAATGTTACCTGCTTTCGTTTCATACAGGCTCCGGTACTCACCTTAACAGCAATATTGCGGTAATATTACTAGGTCTGAGAAGTAATGCCGCATGACCTAAATATTGCGGCTTCGGTTAGACCTTACCCATTCGTATAGACGGCAATGCCGGGAATATATTTTCTGTATGAAAGTGGCTTAAGTTCTCATTGAGGCTTAGAGAGTGGAGTTGTTTTGGTCGTGAGAAGAAATTCCTGTTGCCGTGACAGAAATTGAACCCAGGACACTGGGATTGGAAGGCAAGCATACCATGCAAGATATTTAATTCCACCAATGTAATTCAACAAAAGGACGTACATCTCCGTTCTCGAACATACAGTAGCGCGTGCGTACAGTCCTTTGATCTTTACTGTGGCATCGACAATCCAATACTAGTTGCGAGTACAGCCGTCAATTATTAGTCTATGCGTGCCATTCGTTTTATGGTGTTAGTTTTTATTTTATTAATTTTGGGTACTTCGCAATGTTTGTTACATTTGATTTTTTTTACCGCGGGCTTGTTCAATGCTTCTATAAACTGCAATTTGATTTGTGAAAATTGACCAAGAAAATGAAAAGTTATAGCAATTCAAAATTTACGAATTTTATAAAATTTCATGTTCTTATGTAACATTAATCTGTCATTTTGACAATGTTCATTCTCAGATCTATCATCAGT